ACGATGATTATTTTAAAATATTTCTATATTATAAATAATGCTGCCTAATGCGGTGACATTCAATTAGATGAATGTGCAGGTATAATAACTCAATTCAATCAAATGGTTTAGTATTATATCTTTCCCATTTCGTGTATTTTGTTCTATGAAACCGTGCGGCGTGTTCAACGTGTTAACACAAAATTTACCGACGTTTATTCTATACTTTATTCTATTGTTCCTAGAGAACTACGTGTTCGTTTATATAAATCGCGAAAATTGTAGCTTAAAAACCAAAGTATTGCAATGTGTATTTGTATAATTGCATGAATCAAAATCGACTTAAACTGTTACTAAAGAATGTTTAAGAAATTATCCGTCAAATTGACGGGTCCCGTAAATCTAGTGTTAAAGAAAGTGACTCTGTTTAATTGTACATTGGCACCGATATTTCCCATGGACATACCTAGAAAGAAACGCACGCGTTCTTGAGGAGAAAAAAAGATTTGCACGCAGTGGTGTTCCCTTCGGTATTCGACTTGCATTCCCCTTTCTTTAACCTCGTTTCCACGCAAAACCCCATTGTTATGCCGCGTATAGGCATACGATGGATAGAATGGCCTATAAATTTCCGAAAAGTTAATTCATTCCCCGTGTGTCGCCACTTCGTTGCGCCTCCAATAAATCACAATATTTCAGAATACATTTAAAGAGAAAGAGTATCGTGCTCCAAATACATATTATTCCTTAAATGTTTCGGATCACTGATCTAGTGAAAAGAAAACTTGGATTTTCTTACTGAGAAAAAGAACCAGTGAATGTCCGAGTTTTTGTTTGGGCAATATTTTAAGTGTACATAACTGTGCAACAATGATAGAAAAACAGAAAATAGAATACTTACGTTAAGTATTATTATATTTTGTGTTGGAAAGGTAATAATACTTATTCAAAGTTTTTTTTCGCATTCCTTTATATTCCTTTCGAATAACTTATCCTTACTTCGATAATCTTTGTTGAAATAACTTCTCTCATTCTTAATGAGCATTTTATTGCAGATAAAAGTATTTACTTAATGAGAACTCGAAGTATTATGGATTTTATTGTGCAGTAAAATCGCTCAAGGTTTGTAAGCTAAAGAAAAAGTGTAATGAAACAGTACTTGTTGAAACAAATGATAGACGAGATAATATACTAGAAAAAGGATTTCAACAGGATTGCCAAGACAAGCAATTTTTAACTTGATTGTTTATTACTTAATTTTCTTTCATAAATATACTTATGCAACAATGTATGATATACGTTTTCGTTTCACAAAATTATGAAAACACTATTACCAATTAAGGAGTTTCTCAAAAGTAGAACAAACATTTTTATAACCTTTGAATTTTCATACCATAATATAGTGCATACAATGCAACTATACTTTTTTCTTAAACCCAGAACCCAGTTTAGCAAATATTAATGAATACACTCCTTTACGCTTCACAAAATTAACACGTTCAATTCCACACGAATTCACGCAGTAAAAAACACGAATTGAAGAAAGATATAATATGGAATTATTGAATTCAATATTATTATTATTATATTATTAATATTAATTCAATATTATGTTATTGCACGTTTATCTACCTGAACGTCACAGCACTAGGTACCATTATTTGAAGTATACAAATATTTTAAATATTTAACAGTCACCGTTTAACAGGTATATAATTATAATGATTTGATTTGATTGGGGGTCGCCAGTGACCCCCCATAGCGTTCAACATGTTAATACACCAGCATTTCCAAACAGTTAATACAAAAGTTATTCCGATTCTAAATCTCTTCGAAACATCATTCGACTTTTCTTATGCAACTGTTCTAATTTTCTTTCGTAAACTTTTCATCCTACAACCCCCAGTATAGTTTTACGTAAGTCACAAGCAAAAACTATTTATCCGTCATTTCGATCAAAAACCGGAATTTGTTACCTTGCTCGTTTATGCATAAGAAAAAAATATCGTTACATTTTGCTTCTTATGTAATTTTTTCCCGAAAGATTTCGATTTCGATAAACAGCTCACCCATTATCAAGCGTGTCACGGCGAAAAAACAAATATTCCGACGTCCCCGCGAACGTTTCATTTCTCACGGGCAGCAGGCATCAATTAATATTTCACCCGTTCGTTTCCCAGCTTTTTCTCCCGCATTTCTTCTTCCGTCAGAATGGCAAAAAAAAAGGGTACTGGATACTCGTCCGGACACCTTTCGCTTTCACTCGACCACTTCGGACAGTTGCAGCGATATAATTTTATTCGGACAGCCGGCAAGAAGCGTTTTAATCCACCCATATCCAGTCAGATTAAATTTATTTCGCTAATTCCACCGGCGCGATTCAGTTTGACAAACCTGTCCATTTACTTAGAGCGAGTGGAATGAAGTTTTTGTTCATCCCCGGTCGGAAGAACTGCGGCCAAATACTTTCCAAAGCGTTCGGATGCAGCGGTCGTAATAATCGGGGACGGTTACGTACGATAATCCAACGTAATCCATTATCCCGGCGTTCTCGATCATTAAAGCGTGCCACGGTAATTGCGATATCTCGGCGAAATGTTCCTATTACTGTATTAATCCGGCAGTCAGGAAGCGATTCAGTTCAGTAATCGACCGTGCGACACGGGAAAAGTGTATTTTCTCCCGTGAAAAGGAATGTAAATGCGGAGATTAACGGTGTAAATGGCCGTATCAGCCGTAGATCATTGATTATCACGTTAGGGCGCCGATTGCCCGGAAATAATGACGTCCAGTAACCGTCTGTGTTGTTGAAGTAGGCAAGTGATAGCTCATGATACGGGTTTCTCTTTGGACATGCATGTTTCCTGGAGTTTTATGTTGCTTAAAGCTTTGGTCATTATTGGGGAGATGGTATGCGTCATGACTGACGCAGATGCAAAATGATTATCGATGAGTACTTGTTTTAGTTTTAATGGGCAATATAGGGAATGCGTTGGGGATTATGGTTGGTTTTGAAAGTAAGTCAAGACTTGAAGTGGACTGATTTTGAAAGTTAGTGGAGAATAGGATTATGAGATGAGGGAATTTTGGAAAGGTACTAATATAAGTTTGAAATAAATTGAAAATTGAAATTTGCAACTTGCAACTTGGAATTTGATGTTTGATGTTTAATGTTTGATGTTTGATGTTTGATGTTTGATGTTTGATGTCTGATGTTTGATATTTGATGTTTGGTTCTTTTATTTCTCGATAGAATGGTATGTTTGTTTTAAGAAAGAATAAACTGCATTAAATTTGGAAATGTCAATTAAATGGTAACCTTATATTCTGTTAATTAATTGTACATAATTATGTGGTTATATTTGATATAAGTGCACATAATAAACAAATACAATAGATATAATGATTAATGTAATACTATGTTTTATTAATATTTCAAGAAGAAATTGAGATTCCAATGGAGTTCGATTTACTAAATATATCATTGTAGAAATTAATTTTTCAGACTAGATTAATTATTATCTTATGTTATTTGAGATTATATAATCTCTCGTGATTCTAATTATTATGACTGTTGAAGAATTAATAGAAGAAACCCTCAGTTATGAATCGTCAATTCTTAATCATTTACCTGCCAATCTTCCATATCTGGAGCACGAGATCAATACCCCTTCTACCATTTAAAATATACTCTTTCTATTAAGAATTAGATTTTTTACTTAAATGAAAATGGAAAAACATTCTCATTTTTTCTTATTAAGATCTCTGTACACGTTAAATTTTTGCTTTTTTATATCGTCAATATCATTAACACCTAACAAAAAGAAAATATATTTATAAAAGTAGCTACATATGAAAAGAATAGTTAATCTATGAGATTAAAAATACCATTAAAACAACTGAAAATGTAGATATTTGACAATGTAAATGAGGGCTATCTTACCCGAAATTACCCCAATTAATGAACTTTATAAAAAATCGATACATTTTATTATATTTGTCGTTAGATACTATAAAAATTTTATCTACAAAATAGAAAATGTAATTAAGTATCAATGTATAGACAAATGTATAGAAAGTCTGATAACTACATTAGGGTTAAAAACATTTGCCTTTCACGAAAGGAGAAGAAAAATCGTTGCAAAGAAAAATGTTAGAAAACTCATCGATGGCGACTTCGTAAGATCAACGACGCCTAGTAAGCTGGAAGTGCTTGTAGTTATAAATTACTGCTGAATTTTCATACTAAAATATATTACGTGAAATAATAAACGCGTTCAGTTACCTTTGAGTATGGACATGTAATCTCAAAAACCTCTATATAAAATCATATTCTCAATTTTGAAACCAGTGAAATTTTTGTTATATACTTGATACTATTGCTATGTAAAGATATTTGAATAAGTAAAACCAAATAAACACAATAAATTTTTGTATTGCTTGCTAGAAACGAGAATATTTAACATTAACCCATTAACAGTAAACATTAACGCAAGAATTTCCATATAAATATTTCTTTATTACTTCCTTTATACCATACTTATTAAATATAAACATCTCCTTCTTATTAGAAAACTAATTATATCGAAAAAAAAACAATCAACTCAAGGGAAGAGAGAAGTTAAACTAAAACGCGTTAAGTTGCAAGAAATTTCGGAGAAAAACTCTGCGTTGCAATGTCGACTCGCGACAAAATTCCGCGGTCAAGGGGTCAATCGGTCATTTCCAAACTCCCACACTTAAAGGTTAAATTCACGTGCATATTTAAAGGTTAACGTGTTCCTATAGACCCCATTCTGACAAAATGAAGAAACGATTCGACGACCAACAGACATCGACGATCTCCCACGCAGCAAGAGTCCGTCGATCGGGACGATCACCGAAGAACCCGGAAGGAAGATGAACAGGTCATCTCATCGACGAGTGAGCAGCGGATTCACGCTGGCCAGGTGAGCACAGGTAAATACGCCCGGTCCAGTGCACGGCTGGCCGTCGACTCGGCAGGTAGAGAGCTCGTGCTGGAACGAGACGGAAGGTAGAGGGATCGAGAGTGCGTTCAACTCCCGTAGATCGCGCGTGATCCAACGGCTGGCCGGCCGGCCGGCCTTGACACCGTGTGATCCGCAAAGGGGAAAACCGGCACGGGGATGTGACGAGGACGAGGATGAAAAAAGGTTCCCAGACGGTACGTGCACGTACTGTTAGGAGATCAGTTGACGACTGGGCTGATCGGCTGCTTGATCAGTCTTTCTGGTGGTTTTATTTTCTAATTCCTGATACTTTTTTTTATCAATTTATTGTTGTTCGATATGGTTACAAGTAATCAATCAAAATTATAGAACTGTAAACTAGAAAGACACCCCTTGTTCCTGTGTCGTTCCGCTAGACATCGAGTCATCATTAATACGTTGAATGCCGTAGGGGTCACTGGTGACCGCCAACCGAATCGGATTACTATAGTTCACTCAGTTAAACTACGATTATTTAAAAAGATTTGTACATTATAAATAATGCTGCCTAATACGGTGACATTCAGCTAGATCAACATGCAATAATAATACTGCAATTCAATCAAATGATTTAATATTATATTTTTTCGATTTGGGTACTTTGTTCCATGAAATCGTGCGGCATTCAACGTGTTAAACCATAGTGCTAGACGATCACTTGGCTAGGATTGATCGGCTGCATGATCAGTCTTTCTGGTGGTTTTATTTTCTAATTCCTGATACTTTTTTTTTATCAATTTATTGTTGTTCGATATGGTTACAAGTAATCAATTAAAACTATAGAACTGTAAACTAGGAAGACACCTATTGTCTCTGTGCCGTACCACTAGACATCGTCATCATCAGACTGTACTACAAGGGGATCAGTTGACGGTTAGGCTGAAGATATTAGACTTGATCAGTTCCGATTTCTTTCCATTGAATTTTCTGTTGCTTTTGTTTTATATTTCCTGGTATTTATTTGATCGCTAATTTATTGTTGTTTAATATAGTTACAAGTAAATAAAACTATAGAACTGTAAACTGGAAAGACATCTTTTGCCCCTGTGCTGTACCGCTAGGCATCCAGTCATCATCAAATTGTAGTGCTAAGAGATCAGTTGACCACTAGGATGAGGAATTCGGTTGTTTTATCAGTTTTCATCTTTCCTCGCCTAATTTGCTAGTAGCTTTATACAGTAGAACCCCCTAAACGCAACTTCAACTGTGCTTGATAAAACTATTTTACCGTTAATAAATTAGTAGAGAAAAAGAGTTTGATGCTCATTCTGTGTCTACGTTTACTTTAATGTTTAAAGTATGATAATAGACAAGTAATATTTCGTTTATATTAAAATCAAAGAAATAACATGTAGATGATTAACTAAGAAATTATTATTTATCAAGCATAATCATGAAAGTTATAAGACAAGGGGTTAATTTGGTCCTCCGCTTGTATCAGTTTCTTATCGATAACCTCACTCTCGTTGTCCTACTGTATTCTAATTCCTGATATTTTCGATTTAATTTACTATTCGCCAATACGGTCACACGTAACCAATTTTAATTATAAAACTGTAAACTAGGAAGACACCTATTGCCCTGTGCCGTTCCGCTAGACGCCGAGCCATCTCCCAACTATAGAACCTCGTTAAATTCCGACAATGGCGTAGGATCGACATCCTTCATCGATCGCGGAATCCATAACGAGACGAAAGATCGCACGCCGGAGGAAGATAAAAGACCGAGGAAACGCGGAAAGCAGGTTACCAGGCTGTCGGTGGCCTCGCGATCCGCGAAGGGAGGAAAAGGGGTCGGTGACGGGGGGAAGAATAAGGCGGAATATTTATTCCACGGCCGATCGAGTGTGGAGGCGCCGGTTGAATTTCAAATCGGGCCACTGTTTCGTTCGCAGACCGGCAGACGATCGTCGATCATTTGTCCCGGTTGATTTTTAACCCCTTGACCTGCGGTTTCTTTCGTAACAGTGATCACTGAGACTGGTTTGTCATTAAACCTTTGTTCTAGGATGTCTTTCACAACTAGGTTCGGTAAAACTATGTCGTTAACATTGGGACTACCGTACCAGTCAAAATGGCTGGTTTCCATTTTTTTGTTTCTTAATCATTGATACCTTTAGAACGTTGAATATTCGAAATGATTTTGAAAATAAATAGTTTTATTTGAATAGTGCAGTGAGTTCTTGAAGAAACTGAAAATAATCTATTGTTACAATTTTTGTAGGGATTACATATTCAGAAAAACATCTGTTATATCTTTTTAATAATTGCAAAAAGAAGAAATCAGGAATCGGTTGTTTTAACCGATCTGTTAATTTTAGTGTTAACTGAGTCGTGGTTAGATTATTTCCATATTGAATATAAAATTTTAGAATTCTGTTATATCGAATCCAATGACAATTGAAATCTGCGTCTCGAGTGCAAAGGATTAACACTAAAACTACCAGACGAGTCGAAATGACCCATTCCTGATTTCTTTTAGCAATTATTAAAAAAATAACAGATGTTTTCTTGAGAAATTGTTAAAGAAAGTGGTGTAGCAATATGCAAATTGAATTGAAAATCAGTTAAAGTCTGAATAGATGTACACTTGAAGTTTCTATAGAGGAATTTCGGAAAGTCAATTTAATTGATCGGTAGTTTGAGTGTTAATTCGAACTCAAAAGAATTCAGTGACATTTATTTTTGTTAACTTCCGTTCGAGATTCTATTTGAAATTCTTGATCGATCGGCTTGGGTAAAGCTGGTACCTTTCGCAACAGTATTTGAAGATGGTAATCCGTATTCTTATTTAGACGATGAATCTCTTCGGGGTTAATGGGTTGTTCTCCTTTGGAGCGATGGAAATTTTCTGCCGATTGCTGGGATATTATTTTCTTCTCCTTCCTTTCTTCGTCTTCTTAGCGGACCGTTTTAATTGTGAGGATTGAGTAGCACTCGTGGAGGAATGTTTCAGCTTCCATTGAAATGGGCGAATTTCTTCAGGGTTGAGGAATGTTTTTGTTTGAAAGAATAATTTGATTTTAATGGTTCTTTCATTCTTTTGGGAATATTGGGGGTTTTGTGGGTACAAATTAGCCTTGGAGAAGACGAATTCATCGCTTTCTTACTAAGAATGGATTGTTTCTTATTTGAACAACTTTTTACAATGGATTTATTCCAATTTTTCTGGTGATCACCTATCTGTACGAAATTATGTTGGTACAACGACTGAAAATTATTACGAGAAGTATGTATTTTCTTTGTAATGAAAAAATCTTTTCTAGACCAAGGAATATTTTAGTATTGAGGCGTGGAGAAGTTCTAATAATTCTAGTATTGTTTTTTTTTATATTTTATTCTTTTTAGAAATGTTCAGTTTCTCACTGATTTTAACCTCTTGGACTGGAAATTAATTGAAAGGTTTGGCAAGTTCTTGCCCGAAGAACTTTGTTTTTACCTATTTTACTTAGAAATGTACACTAACTGTGTTTACTAATCATTTTGTTTAAAGCGATACATTTCGAAACAGTTTGGTATGTGGAATGCAACAAAACAAAAATGTGTTGACGTGCGCGGTGAGTCTTTTCAGAGTAAGAGGTTAATAATGAAACGGTGCAATCGACTTGCTACGTGTTTTGTTAAGGATACTTCGTATTACTCATAACATTTCGCGATTCGTTTCGATAACGATATGCATTATTGGGTCGAAATTTCAGTAATATTACTATGAAAGCAGGATTTGCGACTCGTGGAAGGTTGAAGGACCGTGAGAATGCTTGTGTAGTCTTGCGAAAGAAATGAAAGCTAATTTGAGGCAGTTGTGGGCTGCTAGTGGATCGATACGATCTATCGATCAATAGTCTTTTTCTGGTGTCGTTTAACAGGTCACAATCACGCCCCATTTCACTGTAATTATCTATGCATAATTGGATTTTTATAAATTCCATTTGCTGGGTTTTTGATTTGTTCTTACTCTTGTCTGAAACTCTCTTAAATTTAACACTTATATATAACAAATATTAAATTTATAACATATTTAAATTAATCTATAAATATTTAGTTTATATCAATATCATTGGTATATTCAGTATATGCAATAATTGACAACAGAAAATTAGAAAGGCAAACAATATTTAAAGGACATTATAATTTTACATTGTGAAACTCATTTAGATATATTTACACTATTGTGTTATTAAAATTCATATTATATGCTAACGTTTGACTAAACAAAAAGAAGACAATAAACTGAATACATGTAACATTCTGTAAACTACAGTTACGTGCTTCTGCAATGAGCCATAACTAAATTCTTTGAATTAGATTTTAATTATTATTAGGATACTACGCAAATTATGTCATTCTAAATTTCGTTCTTAAGAACAAATTTATTGGTCATACATTGTATTTATGAAAGGAATATGTACACGTATTTGTAAATTAAAATAAGCGTTATATTATACATTAAACGTTTCCTACAAATTTTTACCATTCGCATTTACCACACTTAAAATTAACGTAGCTGTGTCTGGTCAAGCAAGAATATTTTTAGCAAATTACACGAATGATATAAACCTGGATTAAAAATGGTATAACTAGATTGCGGGGGTTTATGGAAATTCATAATTTTACCGACCAATTTATAGCGAATAAGATCAAGAAAAATTTTATTTCCTGTAGTAAAGGTAATAACTTGCTAACAAGATGTATAGGGTGTCTTAATAATGCGGTACAAACAGAAAGGACGTGATCCACATTTTTATTTTGAAGTATGAATGTAACTTTCTACCTAATTATACTGTTTTCATGGATAAAGGTAATGCAAATATATTTTAGTACTTATTTTTTTAATGTAGAAACAAATAAAAAATCAATTAACAACTCAAAAACTAATCGATCGATTAGAATGACTTTTTTTTCAAATTAAAGAATGTATTAATCCTCAGATACTAAATTTCTAATATTTTCAAATTCACCACGATTTATAAATTTTTAAACGAGATAAAAGATTGTCATCTATTTTATTCTTTTCCTTTATTACTACAATACCTTCCTTGCTTTCGTGAAACACAATTTTCAATTAAATCTGTGGAATGAGTTCAATAAAAGTTAATGAAAAACGTTATACTGAAATTTCTTTTAGGCGGTTGGCTAAGTGTTAATATTTGTCAACAAATTAATATCAAACAGTTTTC